AATACAACTAGCACATAAAGGTCATTTATTGATTGTCCAGACGAAACAGTTACTACGCACAAAAGTATGGTTCCCAAATATTAATAGGGTAACAAAAAACATTAGTGAAAAGTTGTGCAGCGTGTCAGGCAGTTACAAACGCTAAGATCGGAGATCCTATAACATCAACAACATTACCTGATTAACCGTTCCAGCAACTTGACATAGATTTCACTGGACCTTGCTCGAACAAGAAATATGTCTTCATATCAGTAGATGAATATTCAAGGTACCCGATAACAGAAATTGTTTCAGCCACAAGCATCCACGATCTGGAACCAATACTTGAGGAAACATTCTCTACATTTGGAATTACGAAGTCTATAAAGTCAGACGATCCAGCTTTTTGTGATAGTAAATTTAAAATATTCTCATCTGATCTTGGTATAAAACACATAAAAATCAAGTTTGATTCTCAAATCAATTAATTTTTCCCCTACTTCTAGGTACTCCGCATTCCACCACAGAGAAACCCTCATTTGAACTGGTTTTCAACAGAGAAATCAACAATTTATTACCGATATACAGACAGCAAGAAAGACATAGAAGGAAATGGCAAAAACTGATAAGAAAAACCTCGAGAAAACCAAAGGAATATGCAGATTAACAAACAGATACAAAAGTACCCAACTTTCAGATCAATCAAATTATTAGAACTCAAATTTTGGCAAAGATAGAAGGAAAATATATCAAAAGGAATGCGCCGTCTTTCAAAATATTCAATCCTAGTATTCCTAGTCAAGTCCTCAAACATCCGTCAAACACTCCCAAACAAAATGCGTTTACTCCTCCTATCATTTCTATCATCCCTACGAAAACAGTATTATGGAAGATTAGTCCTAAACAGGAACAACCTACTATACTTGAAGCAAGTTCGCTAACACCACCCACTAGCGAAGATCCAGACATGCATGAACCTCACAAAGTCCTCTAAGATGACGGTATCTCATTCAGTTCGGTACCTGAAGCACCTACAACAGATGCAGACAGCCTTTCAGTTAGTGACCCAACTGAATAATATGATAACTTCAAACATGACATTTTGAGCAACCCTGACAGTCAAGAATGTCAAGCCTTTGAACCCTCAGATGTTTGCGACAACATGCGCCCATCAAGAGTTTCGAGAAGACCAACCTATCTAAAAGACTATGAGATCAATTTTGATTCATCAAGTGACTAGTAGGTTTTTTTTTCCAAAATGTATTTTTAGAAATATTACCTTTATATTTTATTGCAAATTAAAACTTTCAAATATAAAGTTAGGGAGGAAATGTAGTGTCTAGGTTTTGTAATAGTCTATGCCACTTTACTTGAAGCTCAATGTTTTTACTTAAATTAAATTACTTAATGAAATTCGAGTAAATTTCGAGTTTGCTTGATAATCAAGTATAATTTTAAAAAACTTGTACTTGTATTTCAAGTAAATCTATCAAATATATTAACTTTATACCTATACTTCAAGTACTTTCGTAATATACTTGTGCCGGCTCTGTCTGTGATAGAACTTTATTGTTGGCCCGAGAGTTTGATCTTCCTACTTGCAGTTATAGTTTTATAGTAAAAATATTTGTATTAATAATTAAAAAGCTTTCAAGATCCCAGAACAAAATTTACAACGGTTTTCCGTCTTCCTCTCGCACATACGCGCATTTAATAAAATGGCACGCTAAATTCCTCCGGATAAGAAATAAACTCCGAGATAAAGGCGGGCTAAATGGATTCCATTCGGTATTATTTTGAACGTGCCTCATTTACCCCGAGGCTGGCTGGGGCTAAAATCCTTTAGTAGATGGCGTCCGGAAGTGTCTCGATTCTCTCTACCAGATTTTCTTGGCTCTAAATGGCAATTTCAATTTCGGGGTATTTTTCGAAGCTGACAATATTTCAGGAATTGTGAGAGGATTTATACCTTATTTTGTAGGGCTCTCAAAATCTTGTGTTATACCTTGACTTTGTTTATTAATTAATAATTGATGATGTTGTTTCGAAGTATATTATAGTCCTTTATATACTTGCTGATTGCAAATATTGGAATTATTTGGTAATAAAAGGCTATATTAATGGTTGCAATTTCATATATTATATTTCTTTCAATCCATGTCGTCTCAGTTATCTGAATCAAACCTATATTTTTCTCGACGCTGTTCTCCTAAGTCATCCCCCAACCCCCTAATTCTTACATGAGTTAAGGCATTCGGCTCTAACATAGTTTTCAACCGTTTTGGACGGCACGCTTTTGATGTGAAACGATCAAAGAGAATCCTTTAAAGTATAGTTACTGTACGTCATAGACTTTCTTTAGGTATCTCAACAATTTAAGTATCACATATTCCGTTTCTAAGAGAGGATATATAATTCCTTCTGCATTTTTAATAAAAAAGCGACTATACCGGCTTTTTGATATATATACAACAAAATTACAGATGATTTTTGGTTGGAGGCTCAAATTTTGCGTTGTTTTCAGACAAACAACACAAAACAAACAAATATTTAGCATCCAATAATAAACCAAAATTCGTGAAACCGATAAAGTCACACAAAGACGGATTTTTATCGTAACCATTAGCGGAATTGTCGATGTGTTTTTACCTGAGTTTATTACAGTCGAGCAGTCCGGATACAGGAAACACGTAAATTGCATGCAACAACAGGTGTGCAGTAAGCTTGGGTGGCTTTTTGCCAAATAATTGTTTTATTGAATTCGGGAGAGTGTTTTGCTCATAATTCAGCGAGTTGAAGGATTTTGAACCTGAAATTTTAGTCAATTTAGTGATTAACCTTAATAGTTCCAAGATAATAATTGTGAATAGTAGGACGAGCGTTTTGGAACCATACAATCAAGGATGGTGCATTAACTAGAACATGTTCAAGTTCACTGTTATCTGGACTTTGCATAGATTCAACAGATGGCGTCAGTCAATTACTTGTATCAAACCCCTCCTCCATACTAAAGTCATCAGTTGACTGAATAGTTGTAAATAATTTAATTATGTTTTGAATGATATCAAAATCTTAGAAGTTACACTATACAATTATTATTGGTGCGTCAAAATTTTAACATCAACAATTTGCAAATGGATAGATTCAATTTCAATTTACTTACACATTTTTTTTTTTTTTGTAAAAGAATTTCGTACTTACAAACATCAAATCGCATAAAATCTATGCATTCTAAATATAGAGTCTTGTTCCTTTAATATTCGTTAATAATTCTCCTTCATTTTAAGCTATTTAACTCGCACATGCACTTCCGAAACACTCTAAATCGAGCTTACGTCCCGGAAAGTCTCTTTGCTATTAGCGAATTTATCCCTTAAGCTTGTAAAGTATCATGGAAAGTATTCTTCGAGAGGAAAATTTTTGAGATTAGTAAAGTTTGATTACGAGATAACATTTCAGCAAATTAATGATATTGTCACGGATTTCGGGTCTACTCAAAATTCAGTTATTACTTTTCGATTGTTTCCAAATGACATCGTACTCCAGATTTATCTAGAGGTCTGGAATACGATGAATTCCCAAAAAAAAAACGCTCTAGACGTAAACAACTAGGTTCCTACTTTGCAAGCTGATATTTTGATAAGAACTTTTCTCAAAAATTTACGTTTTAGTAATTGTCCACATCAGATAAATATCATTAAACAGGTAAAAGTAATTAAAAGTCCCTCTAGGTATCACATAAAAATAGCCACACAAATCTAGTGTTTATTTAGTGAAAGTTTTTGTTTAGTTAGTTGTTTTAATTACAACAATTTATACAAAAAGCTTTCAACTTTCAACATAGTGCAGTTGTTTGCTAATAAGGGTAATTGGTAAAATTTCGGAGAAAAACAAATATTTAACCTTCTAAAATTTTGTGTATTTTTGTAACCTCACAGTAGCTCAGGGTTTTAGTAAAATTACTAGATTTGAATCTCTAAGGCCGTTATTAAATGAACATTTTAGGTTTTCGCTTTTAATTGAGGAAATGTTATTGGTACAAAAGCTATCATAATTTTTGAGGAATCTAATGAACAGAAAAGTATATCAAAGGTTTGATAAATATTTAGACGTGAAAATGATAAATGCAGTAGACGATTATTTCATCAAGAGCCCGAAATAAGCATATTGTCATCTTTTTATAGAAAATTCGATTCTTCACAAAAAGTCTCGGGTGGCATATTATTTAGGTGATAATCTAGATGATAAATATCTCTTAATTTGTGACGTAAATTGTTGGAAGCCTCCAGGCGCTAAAACAGTATCAGCAATTTGCGTCGAAATGTAGGTACAGTTCCTAACAGTCGTAAATAATACAGATATTCGCGTGCAATTACAGGATATTCATCCGCTCAATAAAATTAGCTTATCGTCCGGACTGGAAATGTTAGATATGCTGCCCGTGATTTTTTTATTTGTAATCGAATCTATTGTCGAAAGAAAATTTGTTGTTTACCAACCTGGATCATAGTGCCTATGGTTTATTTTTTCCAAGATAGATTTTGACATTGTCAACTTTGAAACATAAACAATGCCGCTAATGCCGCTTATTGGTCGCTATTGTAAAACTGATGTCAACCTGCAGAAACACCTCATTTTGCGACCAATCAGGGTCAAGCGTCATTGTTTATGTTTCAAAGATTTCAATGTCAAAATCTATCTTGGGAAATAATAAAGTGTAGTTTATTTTATTTCTTATAAAATAGTAAAAGCTATTTGCACAAATATTATATTCAAAAGGTACCTGAGTAGAACCTGACTAATTTGGATCGAACCTGGCTAAACTTTTGATGAAATTCGTTTCGAGAATCATTTCCATTCAAACCAAAAATCTAGTTCACCTCATAATAAAGATTTTTGGTTATTTTCTTAAAAAATCCAATTGACAAACACACATTCACTGAGAGAATAATTTTTTCCCCTACTGAGACACCCCCAACTTTCTCTGCCAAACACCCCCTAGTGGATTTGGGCTGTTTTGTTTAGTCAGGTAGACATATATTCTTAGCCAAAAATGATAATTCGTTATGCTTTCCATGTAGACCTAAAGGATATTTGATATCTTTTCCCATAACATATCCATAGTCGGAATCGTCTGGTATAGATAAAACATCTAAAGAATATAATTCGCTATTACTAATGAGTCAACGTTTACTCATAGTTTCATCCAAATATATTATAAATGAATTCGATTCTGTAGGATTGACATTTGAAAGAAATGCATTTTTTGCCTCAATTTTTCGGACACTACAATGACATATCTCCCCACCCAAAAAATTGTTTTTCAAAAAATGCAACATCTCAATGTCTGTTAACAATTCCAATTTACCACCTGTAAATTGGAGCCTGGTGCTGTATAATATTGTGCGAGATCTAATTTATATACAGGGTTTCCCACATAAAAGTAACCATATGGGGATTTCCGAAACGTTAAGAGATACAATTTTGGTTAAATGGGAGAAAAGTTGCGCTATTCGGAATAGCGCAACTTTTTTTCCATTTAACTGAAGTTCTATCTCTTGCCGTTTTTGAAATCCCCATTATTACTTTTAACTGAGACACCCTGTATATTGAGAGATATATTGCGAAACGCCTCAAAAAGATCAGTCAATATAATATACAATAATATTCCAAATATTCTTAGCGCTTTCGCAATCTAAACGCCTGTTCGCACAGAAATCACTGTGAGAATAAATTTTATTGGTTTTCTGACTGTTTTCAACCAATGAAATGCGCATTCACTGGTTTGTGATTTCTGTGCGAACAAACCTTGAAGAATCTATAGGCTTATCCTCTAGTTTGTCGTAAAAAATTTCAAAAGATGGAAGTTGCTTTTTATATAATTTATCGATCTAGTCTGCATAAGAACAAGAATATAATACTTTTTTTCTAATTTCATTGAACTGGTTTGAATCTTAGAGATATCATTTGATTTCTATACACTGACTGGGACCCAAGCTTCCTATTTCTATATTCACTAAGACTATCCAATAAAGTTGCAAAAAAACGAAAAAAGTCCAAAAATGTTAGCTTAATAAAAATATTTGTTATTTTATTTTCAAAGTGTACGATTTTATCAACCAACATCGACTTTGGAAATGAAATATATTTCTCTTTAGTTTGTGCAAGGATATCAATTATATAATTTGTACAACAAAGCAGTTTAATAAATAAATGGATGTCATAGCCTGCTAAGTTGAGGAAAAACACTGGAATGAGAGACAAAATCTGAAAATTCAAGTTGCAAATGCTGTGAGCTGGACCCATATCCCTATCATACTAACGTATATCGTGTCTTCCCCATTCACCCATTGTGCGGTTTTTGAAGCAAACCAAGAGAGATACAGATATATGATCTGGCATAAATCTATCTAAAGTAGAACAAGGTCACCAACTGCGCTTTGCGTTAAACTCTAGATTCTTATTGCCATTTTGCAACAAGCTTTTCGTACCGTGTTGTCATGTCAAGCTAAAAAGTACAATGAATTAGGATCATTTTTTGAGGTTATATTTTGGTCGATTGTATTTTGCTTCCGAAACATTAATAATAATGAATATATTGGTTTATCGGTTGTCGAAATCGAGTTTGTGTTACACACCAGAATACAAAATTCGTCATGTTTTATGTGAATGTTTAAATAACTCAAAGATGAAAATAATTTTATTGGCAACCCTACAATATCAGCTGTTTAAAATTAAATCTTATTGTAGGAATAACTCCAAATTGACGCATGCGCATTGGAAAAAACAAGTTCACTTTAGACAAAGAAGGCATCTCATAATGTTTGCTTCAAGAACTCAAACTAACCCGCGATATACGTAGTATGATAATGGCTGGACCCCTAAATTCACCAATTAAATGATCATTATTCATGATTCCTAACTTTTATCTCCAGGCTAAAATTTGTTGCTACAAACTAAAAATATCTCATTTTTCAAATTCAGACTTCTTTTTTGTAAAGAACTTGTACACGTCTTTAGTGAAACAATTGCTTTTCATCTGTTTAGTACCTACTTTAAGGCCCGGCGCAAAATGAAACGCAGCTTGGTGACGTGAGGAAGCGTGATTCACGGCGAGCTTCTGCGGGAGAAAACTGCTAGCGTGGGTAACAGCGCAAATACAATGACAGTTTTCACTTCTCCTGAGGAAAAATAGACTGGTTCTAGTTATGTCGAAGTCGACATAAATTTTATTTTATTCTTCCGTTTTTATTGTAATTTTCACGTATTTCATAATACGTTTTATACAAAGAATTGAACCAGTGCTTCCCTTGATTCAGTGCAAAAATTCTATTATTTGCGAGCCCACCTTGAAGGTGAACCTGCACAAATAGACCTACGGCCGGGAAGCAAATAAGTCACCTCATCGGGTACAAAAGGTTCGAGTTTCTTGGATAAAAGTACTTTGTATGTATATCCTAGAACCGGCCGTCTGCCGGGGTCCAGCGGTCAACTTCACAAATGACAGCTCGTCAAAAAGACGAAAATCTGATTTTTGTCACCTCATTGGTACATGCCTGAAAATTTCGGAATGTGTAGGGGAAAGCTCCTAGATACCTAATTCGGCCGGCAGACGACGATATTTAGACGCCTACGTAAAGCAGACGCCCGCCGTGACGCCGAAAATCTGACGTAAGTCACCTCATGAGGTACATATGCAAATTTGGGCTTAAATGAAAGGTATTTTTGTGTAGAGTAAATAAATATTTTTCAAGATTCGGCAGACGGTCAACAACAAATTGCAGACGCTCTAGAAAATTTAGATTTCAGTATTAATACAGAATAAAATAAAAAATCTTTAATAAATAACTGCAAATTTATTAACAAAATAAATAATTCTGACTAAATTATAGGCATAAGCATTAGCTAAAAACTACAAAATAAAAACATATTTATCAAAAAAAAACAAAAATAAAACAGTTACAAAACTTTTCATAAGAGTAGACCATCGCAGCTAGGTATAAGATAAATACTAGTAGATACCTATTGTAGATATCTACTCCTTTAAACTTAAAAAACTACATAACAGGAAAGGTCTAAACAGGAGCTTTAGAGAGTCGAAAACAGTCAAAAAATATAAACTTAAATATAAATATATACCTACTTACAATACGTAAAACAAAACAGGTACAAAAGTTGAAAAAATAAATAGGAACTCTTAGCATTCAAAAATAATAAAAATGCCATGTATAAAAAAAGGAAAATTCCAGAAATCTTACCACAAAGAAGTAAAATAATATGACTTAGATTTAAGAAACTCTTAGACTGCATCAGACTTAAAGCAAAGTAATACTAATAAAAATATGGCAAGAGCTGAAAAGCTAGTAGTGCATGTAAGGACACTTTCAGTGAAATATAGGAAAAAAAATAAGAAAATAATATCTGAAAAATGGTGGTTATTAGGTTTTTTTTTTAAATTTATGTATCAAAATAATTCCTATTGTTCATCATCAGAAGAATCATGTATTATCTCTCCAATTTCATCATCTATATTGTCAATATCGGGCAAAATTATATCATTTAGACAAGCAGGTACTTGAGGACCATCAAACCAGATCGGTGAAAACTTATCATTATTTAAAGTCCAACCATTCTCCAAAGGATCATAAAATGTTGGTTCCCTTTTGGTTGCATTGTTCCAAATTGAACAAATTTGATTCATTCTCTTAACTTTAAATAACAGCACGTTTTTGCATGGTGGTAACATCGTACTATCAAAATTTTTAAGATTCTTGAACGGACTTTGATTTGGTTTGGGGTTACAATGGTCGTAAAAAATATCAAATCGAGCATCATTGATATTGCACAAATTGGGTTTTCCATAGATTGCACAGATAAACCTCTCTATAGCTTCAATTTGCTCTTTCGAAATGCTAGCATTATAGCCAAATGTACCAAATACTTCTTGTACTTTCTGATCCTTCTTAACTATACCGAACGGCTTCAGCTTACCTTTTCTGGAAAAGGATGCGGTATAGTCACATCCAGTAAGAGCATGAAAAGCTGGTAGAGATTTGCATATACTAGATCCCAATTTATTGAAGATTGCATTTACGTCAACGAATTTTTACGGTATTTTTAGATGCAACTCCAACCTCCATCCATACATTGATGTTTTTATTAATTTTGTCTAGATTTCCTAGCAGAATTATTAGTATGTCAGTGTCAGATCCACGAACTACCACATTAGTATTTGCGCTATTAGCTTCAATTTTAGACAAATGATAAATTATTCGGCTGTCAGCTTCTTCATGGAAACACTTGAAGTTATCAACAATTTCTCTATGTATATGTCCTTCGACAACAGTAAATTTGTAACAATCGTCATTGCAATTGGCATATATGGTTTTATTACTTACAATTTCAATAAATATATCATTTTGCCAAAACTCACACAAAAATTTGATCAAAGACTGTTTGAAATTGTCGTTTCGCATTGCCTTCATAAAATCTGATGGACGTTGCTGTTCAGAACCCTGAATTAGGAATTGCATGCTTCTTCCATATAAATTTGCTCGTTTATCGCGCTCAATATCTTTTATGGATGGTCCTACAAACTTATCAAACACTATGTGTATTTCATTACCTTTATGTTGGCAAATTTTTTTTAGTATATGTGCTGCTAGTTTGCCAAATGTTTGCGGTGTTTCCCCTAGTAAATGGAGCAGATAAAACCCGTCGATTATAGTACAGTCAATATGACTCGGTAAAGTAGATGTAACCTCTTTTTCAAGAGCTTTGAAAAGACTTGATTTGTCTGTTTTATTAATGCTACCATCCATGTGACACAGTGAAAGTGGAAATGGTGTTAACGGGAAAGATAAGATAGTTGCAAGGTCAATTTTATTCTCTAAAGATAAGGCTAATATTCGGCTAACCAAGTTACGCTCAAACCGAACTTCAATAACCTTTCCATTTTCTTTCTTCAATGTTGCCTTATTTTCTGACGCAAATGTGGATATTTCTTGTCTCTTGATTGTACCTTCAAATCTTTGTGAATCCAGTGAACATTCCTCAATAAAGTTGTTTCTCCGATTATCACCGATAGACCCTATGTTCAATAAATATTCTTTAGTTTTTTCAGTGGCAGATTTTCCTGTAGATATGTTGAATAGATTGTCTTTATCAATTTCGGAATTGAAGGGATTAATATTATTTTCTATTCCATTAATGACTGATTTCAAAGCAAGGTTGTCCTTTTTAACTACATGTGGCCGGCAAGCATTACTGGTATCTTCCGTTTTCCGAATATTTAAAATTTCTAACATGTATGAAATCAATGATGTTCGAATAGAATGACTTAATGTCCATCGCTTCCTAGCTGAAATCGAGTTTGTAAAGTTTGAAATCCCCTTCAGTTTATTAGCTGCATCTGCATTTATCGTCTGTTCTAGTGTCAGGTCAATAGGGGTACGCGAAAAATTTTTAGTTGTCCGTTTTATTGAAAAACCACCATTTTCTAAAATGGGTTTTAGACCTGGATGTGTTGCATCTATGTTTACAAGATTTGCACAATATTTAATTATCCATCTGCAATAATTTTGGTGATTCATAGCGAACATTAGGCTGGCAATTCTCAGCAAGCAAAATATAAAAAGATTTATGTCATTCGTTCGAATACTTCTTGAGAACTTTTGATACAATTTTACAATTAATGTATGTCATCCAAAATTTAGCCGTCGCGCCATGCTTTCCTTCTTGAGTATCCTCGCAATACGTATCATATTCACTAAGTAAAGCCTTAAGTGCTGGGAAAGAACTTAGGTCTTCACCTTGAAACCCTTTTAATTCTTCTTTAACTGTTTCGCAATCGTAATCTTTTGTTTGTAGAAACTGTCTAAGATGTAAAAGTTGCAATGCAGTTGAAAATATTATATGAATGCGATTGCAGCGATTATAATGAGTTCCATATAAAGAACCTTTAAGAGAACCTTCCGCTAATACCCAGCTTTCAGTAAGTATGAATGGTCCACCTGATTCTTCAATATACTTTCCGAGAGCCTTAAAAAAGGACATTTCAATATGGAAAGCACCGAGATGAATGAAAATGTTATTGTATTTTGGAGATTCTGCTGACTGAATCTGATAAGCCATTTTGGCAATAGCCAAGTCATATGTTACGGAAATATATTTTTGCTCACACTCATTGGCAACTTCTTGTGCTCTAGTCAATGTCTCTAGTACAGTGGACATGCTAGTGGGAGATGAATTTATTGGTGGTAAATACCAAATTTTTTGCTGTGGCAGGATATCAGTGATATTTCTACTGTTCCAGCCAGTCCACATAGGAATATCGTTGTGTAAAAATTGATAGGAGAACATCCATAGATTATCTAGTTGCTTTATGATTTCGAAATTTTTTGGTACTTCAGTTAGTTCTTTTAAATTTAACATAATTTTTTCTCTTAATTTCGGTTTTTTGTAGTACGCTTGTAACTCGTCAATGTCACCTATAAAAGCTCTTCGTCTTTTTTTAGTTAGAGTGGTTGGTACGTGGTCGCCTAGAATTGCTGAGCTTGATTGGCCTTGATCCTCTGGATTAGTTGATATAGAATCGATATTTGAAATGTTTTGATATAAAATACAGACGGTGTCATGAAGCGTGTCCTTACCACTCGAGGTTTCAACGAAGCGGTCAAAATTGTCAAATGCAAGACCTGTATTCAAATTTTCTGTCACATTGACGTCATTGGGTATAATGGAGCCTGGTTTTACAACTGAAAAAGTTAATTCTGTTTCTAAGCCTTCAACCACTGTGTAGGAGACGCTATGTCCCAGTTTATTTAAAATGTTTATAACCTTCTGGCTTCCTGTAAGACTTTTGATAACCAACCCAAGTTCCATATGTTTTGAAGATTATATCTTGGCAAATGGAATATTAATTTTGGTTGTGAAGTTTTCTTCTTTACGCTGGCATCGGGGACCTGTCAACAAACTTTCAACAAACCCATATAATAATTCTGGAATTTTACATTCTCCTTCGTATATATGTTGTAAAAGTAAATCAGCAGGAAGGTCTTTCTTTTTTATACCTAAAATTTCTTGGCGTAAACGAAACGCTACGGTTTCAACATTCGTTTGAAGGGTTGTTGCTTTGGTAGTGCAAACCTGAATTGCATTGACACGGTTGACATTGGAAGAATGAACAATATTTTTATTTTTATACAAGGAAAACGATATCTGTCCTTTGTACGCATTTTTAATTTTTTGTTTTAAGTGGGTAGCATTGAAATTACTGTTTTTCAGAATGTCATTAGCAAAGTCATATTCAAAACAAATTTGTAAATACAAATCGTAAATATAGGACAGAAAATAGGAATTTTGCTTTTCTAGAATATCACAGTCAATAAAATCAAAAAGGTTCTTCATGGCAAGCTTATGTAAATCTCTGTTTGAATGCCAATTTCCTTTTATTATTTTCCGTTTAAATAGTTTACTATATCGTTTTTGATATGCGATTCTACAAATAGAATGGTAACAAACTTCCTTTGCTACAAAATCAGTATCTAAAATTTTTGTTAATAAAGTAAAATCATTTAATTTTGTAGCGTAAAGCCTAATATTATTTTCAAAGTTTTTTGTACTAGATAGAGTTAATGCTCTAGTTTTATTTTTATAACGGTATATTTTATCACAAAAAATACACGCTTTTTTAAAAATACCGGTAGTTTGATTTTGAACAATTTTTTTTTGACGAGAACTATTTTTTTTGGGAATAGCAGTCGGAGCCAGTATATCAGTTTCGTTTGAATTGATTTCCTCTGGATAACATAAGGATTTAATATCAGCTTCTGATATCTCTACAAGTTTCTGTTTTTTAACTGCCGTGAATTTTCTGTAACATTGTGTATGATAACAATCATAATTATTTAAAGAGACTGGAAGATTGAAATTTTTGTCGGACATATTAAATTTTCTTCTTGCAGCAAGGACAGTTCGGTATTTTTTTAAAGTAGACTCATTGAATTCCTTAACGTCGGAATCGAAACTTTGTTCGCTGACAATATGTATGCAACACTTAGGTTTTACAGTGGCAGCAGAATTCGGCTCTACTACCTTCTCAGCAACATCTAAAGTAACGTCATCCATGTTCTTATTTCTAAAAAGATTCATTATTGCAGTGCTAATTTTACTCAAGCGCAAATTCTTTCAGCTTCTTTAGAATCATTAGAAAAAACTTTACGCCTATTTTACAAAAGCAGTGTATTCATTAAAAAAAAGTTTATAAATAAAATATTATATTATGAAAGAAATTTAAAAAGTTACATAATAAATACATAATTATTAGCAAATAAATTGATTCAAAAAAAAGTTGACAGCGTCGCAATTAAACTTCGAAACTAAGAGGGTATCTACAGAAAATAAATAATACTTACATGCCGTTATCAAACCAGTAAAACTATCAATCACAGATAAATATTAAATATTTTTTAATTTCGGGAGCCAGATAATATGATATTTTCAACTTTCAAATGCCTTCTACAACGCTACTTACTGCTCACTACCAACTGCCAAACCACAGGCCTTCGAGTCCTCCGTACTTCACAACTTACAGGGAAATCGCCGAAATCTATTGGCAAATCCAGTGCTTGTGCCCTTTCCTGCTAGCATGAAAATGCAGGCCACGTTGCCACGTTAATTGCTTATCATTATTACCTGTCCGGATAGTTTTATTTTTTTATTTTTTTTCTCAAACATTGCTTTCTATCCCTAACAGAAGCTTGTTGTACGAATTCACTGACTTACTAGCATGTATAAAATAATGCAGGCATGTTTCACTAATGTTACAATAGGTAGGTGGGTATTTGAAATTTAAATTTTCTAGAGCGTCTGCAATTTGTTGTTGACCGTCTGCGAATTTTAAAAAATATTTAATTACTCTACATAAAAATACCTTTCATTTAAGCCCAAATTTGCATATGTACCTCATGAGGTGACTTACGTCAGATTTTCAGCGTCACGGCGGGCGTCTGCTTTACGTAGGCGTACAAATATCGTCGTCTGCCGGCCGAATTAGGTATCTAGGAGTTTTCCCCTACACATTCCGAAATTTTCAGGCATGTACCAATGAGGTGACAAAAACCAGATTTTCGTCTTTTTGACGAGCTGTCATTTGTGAAGTTGACCGCTGGACCCCGGCAGACGGCCGGTTCTAAGATATACATACAAAGTACTTTTATCCAAGAAACTCGAACCTTTTGTACCCGATGAGGTGACTTATTTGCTTCCCGGCCGTAGTTCTAAAATGATAGAATCTATTCAAGTAACCGCTCAAAGTTATGATATGGCTTGGTCCTTACTGGCACAAAGATATGAAAATAATCTAATACATAAAATTCTCATGTCACAGTTTTGGTGACCTTCGTCCTCCGAAACGGCTTCACCGATTTTTATGAAATTTATATTCGGTAGGTCTGAGAATAGGTTTTAAGCTATTTTTTATACCCCTAAGTGATAAGGGTAGTCCACCATAAAAAAATAATATTTTTTTTTTGCTTCTCACCACTACATAACCAAACTTATTTTTGTTTGCGCATTCAATGCCATTCAACCGACGTAACAGTATTCTCTTATAGCATTTTTGGCTTTACTGCTCCCGGAGCGATCTCTATTTGGGCGGTGACGTCACAGATTAATTATTTGTTTTGATCAATCATTGATCTATCGAATTTGACAGAGCAAGGAATAGCGCTCCGTACGAGACTTGAGAGCATTTATTGCTCAAGTCGAACACGTGAATCAGTTTTGAGCAGTTTTGAGACAAAAGTCGAAAGTGCTATTATTATATACAGTCGTGAGCACAAAAAGTGGGATACCAGTTTTTTCCTATTGTAAAACGGGCTCACCAACTATACCTACGGCAATGACAGGGATTGTCATATTTGACAAAAAATCGATTCTAGAGAAAAGACTGATTTACGCAAAATAGCGAAAAATGACAAGACCTGTCAGTCGAGTGTCCCACTTTTTATGCTCATGACTGTATATACAGTGTCCCCCATAATGTTCGTTACATATGGGAAAATTTTTTATTTATAAGACATGGAATTTATTCTTATATGCGATCGAACCTGCATGTTCAATAACCTAAAAGTACATATTGAGATTGGTCACGTGATCACTGTTGTGGCGGCAGATTCGAAAATTTAGATATGGAAACGAGAAAAGTGGGGTTAGAAGGCAAAATTTCGGAAAAATGTTTTTGAAACAAGTTATTAGAACGATGTTTTAGGGCTGTCTGCGAAATTTGGAGAAACAACAACAAAAAACGGGAAATTACTTGTTTTTCGCCATGGATCTCTTATCAACTAATATCATATAGTTTTTGTTATTGAAATAGTCCAAGTACCTCAATATTTGATATGTATTGGTGAAACAAACTTAAATTCTTCATTGGAATCATTCCTAGAGAATTAAATAAAAATTATTGATTAGCACATAAAACTTTTCTTCTGTGCAAGCTGAATATTTTTATTCAATCCTCTCTAGAAATCATTGAATCATTTCAATGAAGAATTCAAGTTTGTTTTACCAATACACATTAAATATTGAGGTACTTGGACTATTTCAATAATAAAAATTGTATAATAATATTTGATAAGAGATCCATGGCTAAAATCAAGTAATTTTCTGTTTTTTGTTATTTTTCCTCCAAATTTCGCAGACAGCCCTAAAACATCGTTATAATCACTTTTTCCAAATGACTTTTTTCGAAATTTTGTCATCTAACTCTACTTTTCGCGTTTCCATGTCTAAATTTTCGAATTTGCCGCCAACAACAGTGATCACGTGACTAATGTCAAAATGTACTTTTAGGTTATCGGACATGCAGGATCGATCGCACATAAGAAAAAATTTCATATTCAACAAATAAAAAATTTCCCCATATGTAGCGAACATTATAGGGCACACTGTAAATTTTCTATCATCAGATTGCGCGGTCCTTTTCTTTCATTACATACCATTCACAGTGGCGACAATTGCTGTCTAATTTTTGATTGGTTCTTTAAAGTCCTATATATTTATATGGAAAACGCCGCCGTTTTGTGCCCTACCTCTTGCTACTTTTAAATATGAATATATAGGATTTAAATGGACATCCATCATAGAAAATTGAAAACAACGTATTTGATGACTATTATGAGGTACATCAAATACGTTGTTTTCAATTTTTTTATGATGGATGTCCATTTAAATCCTATATATGTAAACGTTGTTTAGGTTTCACCCAAAAATAAAACCACCCGATCTCAAAAACCCCGTTTATTCGATATTTAACTTTACAAATCGTCTTCTTGTAAATAATCCTATTTCAAGACTGGTGCCGCCTGGGTTTTCGTGGACGTCGGTCGCTGTCCCTTTCTTCCCCTGCCCGCACCGTCCGTCATCCTAACCCAAAGCTAGGATCCTCTACCCTTTGCAGGTAGATAAAAGGGGTGTTTTTTTGGTGATTCTTGTATTTTGAATATTTCCGCTTACACGGCCATCCTGTTCTCGAAGCGTCCTCGCTTCTCGCAACCAATTTGCGAATTCCATCTAAAATCACAAAATAGGGAAACAGAGCTTTTGTTGACATTAATTTCATTAACATTTTTATTATTTTTTTTTTTTTGATTACTTTTTTTTTTTTAATTGGTGAGATTGTCACCCTTAATTTATGTACAAAATTTTTGAAGTTTAGATGATACAGCCAATTTGACATTAGGCATAGTGGGATTGCCACTATTATTTTTGTATAAGTTCAGAGGTACCCTTTAGACATTTAAATGACTTGTAGGTACTTAACTTTTCAATCAAAAAAAACGACAGTAAAAGTTCACAGGTACTCATGTACTTGACTTTTTAATGAAATTAACCAGTAAAAGTTCAGAGGTACCCATGTACTTGACTTTTCAATAAAATAAAACAGCAAAAGTTCAGAGGTACTCAAGTACTTGACTTTATAATCAAATGAAAACAGTAAAAGTTCAGAGGTACTTTTGTACTTGATTTTTTAATAGGTAAAATACAACAGCAAAAGTTCAGAGGTACTTTTGTACTTGACTTTTCAATCAAATAAAACAGTAAAAGTTCAGAGGTACTTATGTACTTAATTTTTTAATAAAATACAACAGCAAAAGTTCAGATACTTTTGTACTTGACTTTTCAATCAAATAAAACAGTAAAAGTTCAGAGGTACTTATGTACCTAACTTTTTAATAAAATACAATAGCAAAAGTTCAGAGGTACTTTTGTACTTGACTTTTTAATAAAATACAACAGCAAAAGTTCAGAGGTACTTTTGTACTTGACTTTTCAATCAAATAAAACAGTAAAAGTTCAGAGGTACTTATGTACTTAACTTATCCCAGCCAATATGTGAAGACTCATCGTGATACAGTTTCATTGTTAAGAGACGTGCAGCAATAGGTACGAAGCACTTATGAGTTGTCAACTTTGTCACAACTACATTATTTATCACTACAAAGTTTGGATTATCGTTCGGGTTTTCTAAAATTCCACGACAAAATGTATCATTTTGTTGAAATTCTCGCAGAGTTTTATTATCCGAGATTTTGGTTGGACTTAGTGTTTTTAGAGCACATACTTTTAAAAGACACTCATCATCAGGAAGATTTCGGCTTAAATAGTCCACATGTGCAATTTTATTTCCAGGTCGATACTCGATAGAAAAATCGTAGTCCTGTAGTTTAACCCACCAGCGCGCTACTCGGGGATGCAAGTCTTTTTTCATTGCTGTTGCTCGCACTGAATTGCAGTCCGTAAAAACAACAAAATGCACTCCATACAGATAGACCCGAAAATGCTCTACAGCCTCTACTATAGCAAGTGTCTCGAGGTCGTAGGAATGGTATCTGGATTCATAGTCTGTGGTTCGACGGCTGAAATAAGCAACAGGTCGAGAAATGCCACTTTCTTTTTGGAAAAGCACAGCGCCCAATCCAATTGAGCTTGCATCAGTGTGAAGTTCACATGGTAAAGCTGGATTGAACATACGTAGCACAGGTGAATCTGTGAGTTTTTCCAAAATTAAGTTTTTAATGCTCTCACATTCTGGAGTCCATTCAAAAACACAATTTTTACGTAAT